AGTTGCAAATAGAGGTACCATTTAACCCAGCAATTCCACTACTGGGAATATACCCCAAAGAGACCATAACTGACATCCAAGCAGATATATACACACCCATGTTTACTGCAGCTTTGTTCACAATAGCAAGGAGTTGGAAACAGCCCAGGTGCCCATCAACAAATGAATGGATAGAGAAGCTGTGGTATATGCACACAGTGGAATACTATGGTGCATTGAAAAACAAGGAACTCATGCAATATTATTCAAAATGGGTGACCCTGGAGGACATTATGCTGAGTGAAGTGTCTCAGTCACAAAAGGACAAATACTGCATGGTGCCACAGTTGTAGAATGGGACTGATATCAGGGTTGGGGTAAGACTAAGAAAAACTGGATAAATTATGTATACTGCATTGAAACAGATGAGGGAGAGAATAATTTAAAAGTGATATATGATAGGGTGTTATAGTTATCACAAAAGTCCAGAATTAAGGTTGCATAGTGGAATGTATTTGGGGCGGTGGGAAGGGTGTGGGGGTTTGTATACCAAGGAAAGAATTTTTCTTTACTTTTCAAAGAGAGGAGCGAACTGGCGGGGGGGCTGGGCAGGGAGAAAATTGCAAAAATGAATGAGTGGAAATCCAAAATCTCTGTAAATGTTCATTAAAATTATTAAAGTAAAATTAAAAAAAAACCAAACACACAAATAGACATTCTCATATTTCTCAGCTTTCACTCAGGATCTGTCTGAATCAGCAGCCTGATGCCACAGCCTCTTCTAAACCCAGTTTGAACTTTTGGCAGTTTTTTGTTCGTGTACTGTTGTAGTCGTTTCTGGATGATCTTCAGTATTTTGTTTGCATGTCATATTAATTATATTTATTGATAATTTCTACATTCTGTTAGATCACCTTTCTTAAGAATGGGAGTTAGTTGAAGTATATCTTTTGGCATCCCCTCAACAGTTATAACAGTTCCTGAGTTATAATCTTGAAATGGCTTTTTCTATTAGAAACCAGGCTTCTGAGCTTCCGGGCCGCCTCTGCTCCCAGCAGGCAGCGCGCCCCCCGAAGGCGGGGCTTGCCTGGAAGACGGAGGTGAGGAAGCTTCCGTTCAACTTGATTCCTCTGCTGCGTTCGTTTGTGCTGGTTTTCTTGGTTAAAACATGGCTAAAAGCTTACGAAGTAAGTGGAAAAGGAAAATGCGTGCTGAAAAGAGGAAAAAGAATGCTCCAAAGGAGCTCAGCCGGCTTAAAAGTATTCTCAAAGTAGATGGTGATGTTGTAATGAATGACATTCAAG